CAGATTTGACGAAATTTAGCACCAGAAAAAGCACAACTGGAAGCACAAAAAAAAGCACCAGATTTGACGAAATCTAGCACAAGAAAAAACACAAGGGAAAGGCTAGAAACGCAAGCGTTGCCAGGACCCAGCCGCCAGAGCCGTGCCCCGGTTCGGCGCCCCGGTCCCCAGGGCCCAGCCCCACGAAAGCCGTTACAGGGAAGGCCGAGCCCCGGTTCCGCGCGCCGGCTCGCAGGGTCCAGCCCCATGAAAGCAGTTAAAGGAAAAGCGGCCCGCCCAATTCCAGAGGACCCAGCCCCACGAAAGCATTTGAAGGAAGAACCCAGCCCCAATTCTTACAGGGCCCCCACGAAAACATTTAAAAGGAAAAAATGGGCCCACAGGAACCAGCCCCACGAAAGCATTTAAAGGCAAAGCGGCGTCCCAATTCCCACAGGACCCGGCTCACGAAAGCGCTCGCAGGAAAAGCAGCGCCCCCGTTTCCAATAGCCAGCCCCACAAAAGCATTTGAAAAGGAAAAGCAGTCGGCTTGCCCACAGGACCCAGCCCCACGAAAGCATTTAAAGGCAAAGCGGTGCCCCCGTTCCCACAGGACCCGGCCCCACGAAAGCATTTGCAGGGAATAGCGCCGCCCCGGATGCGCCCCAATTCCCACAGGACCCGGCGCCACGAAAGCATTTACAGGGAATAGCAGCACCCGGTTGCCCGGGCCGCCCCACGAAATCATTTTAAAAGAAAAACCGTCGTATTGCCCACACAACCCAGCCCCACGAAAGCGTTTAAAGACAAAGCACGTCCCAATTCCCACAGGACCGGAACAACTACTACTATAGACTAACACCACTTGACCTATTTAATGCTACTTGAGGTATATCTTTTTTCACAACCTACTGATGTGTTGCTTGATGGAAGGGTTTTGTGTCTTCCCATGGCTTCACCAGGCAGGAGGGCCCATAGATGAGAGTGAAAAAAGGAGTTCCTGTGGTGAGAGTGCCATCCAATTGGATCTAAAGGTTTTTTAAAGCATTTTTCTGGTGCTAATTTTTGTGCATCCAGTTGTGGTCTCTGTTACAGCGCCGCGGCCATGCACAATATATATATATATATGTGTGTGTGGCAAGGAACTCAAAGAAAGACGTGTATATAAGATACATATACAGCATATGGTTTTGTCAACAGAGTGATGCTGAAGAATTGATTTTAAATTTTACACCCTGTGTGAGAAGCTTGGGAGGAAGAGCGACGAAAGGCAGCTGCACGAAGGGCGAAGTGAGATTGCTCAGTTTTTTTTTTGCGATCCCACAACTACACCAGACAGGGATTTTTGTTGGGTAGGGCAATTGCAGTGTATAGGTGTCAACTTGTTTTTGTGAATTTGTGTGGCTTCGAGCGATTCAGGCCTGGCTTCTCGAAGCTCTTGGAATCCTTCGGCGTTAAAAGCGATAACGAGGAAGAGGATGAGGACGAAGAGGAGAATGAGGATGAAGACGAGGAAGACTGAAAGACTGTGCAAGAGTGAAGGGTTCTTAGTCCTTTCTTTTTGTGCTTATTCTTTTTCCTCTTCTTCGTTCATGTCCATGTCACACAGTGGCACATCGTTTGCAACACAGCTAGAAAGATGGTTTGAATGATAGCAGTAAGTATTTGGGTAGGAGAGGGAGAGCAACGAAGGAGGCCGGAAAGCATCAATCAGCTCAATCCGGCAAAGGCATCTAATCTATTTCTGGCTTGTATAACTATCCTCAGTTGCAGGTCCAGAGGTTGCACCTGAGGATGTTCAGGCGGAGAAAAATGCGGTGGTAACTTTGCATGCAGCATTCTTTCAATCTGCTCGCAGCCAGTTTCTCATGAAGCTTGTGAGGACCTTCAAGAGGGAGAGGAGGAAGAGCCATTTGAGGATCTGGAAGATCCGGAGGAGGAGGAGGAGGTGCCTCTTGGCATGTTTCTTTTGGGACCGGTTCGATGGCTGAAGGTGCCCCAATTGGACAGCGAGACCAGCTTTGCTGCCCACGAAGCCACATTGAAGCGCGTTGTTATATAATTGTTTTTGATGTGGTTTGAGGAACTCGAGCAAGGGCAGGAAAAAGATGCACAAGAAGCAGAGTCCAGGGGGCAGGACTCAAGAGAATTTTATTTCGTGGAACTCTTCATTGAAGTTGATTCTTGCACTAAGCATTCAATCGATTGTCTTGACTATCATAGCGCGCAAGGATGGCTTGGACTTCTACTCGCGTTTTTGGGAAGACCCACCCCGGTCGCTGATATTTGGCAAGCATTTCGAAACATCGATTGCCATCTTTCAGAGAAAACGTGAAGGCGAGACGACGTAGAAGATCGTTTCAATTGATTGATATGGGAATCAGAAAAGTGAGTCATTGAGCAGCTCAGGGCTGACAACTCCAAGCGAGCTACAGGCGCTGCAGGATGCTTTCAAACCTTATTGGCCGTTCGGATGTGGATTACAACGATTACAGTCCAATGGTTGGGGTGCAAGAAAAGGGACGTGTGGACTAGTGAGTCTAGTGCCTTGAAAGACGTACGACTGGCAATTGGTAAGTCACCTGATGGGTTTGAGGATGCCAGGCCTCCATGAAGCAAAGAAAGGAAGAAAACATAAGAAAACAAGAATTAAGAGCTTAACTAGCTTCCCAAACTAGTTAAGAATAGATAGTGATCGACAAACAGTTTCCTGAACTAGTCATATAACTAGTTTCGCTCAAGCTGCACTGCCATTTCGTGCCGAGGGTTCTTCAAGGGAGCTATGATCGCCTCTTTTTATGCACCGCCTACGACTCACGCCTACCGGCCTACTTAAAGACAAACATGGCAAGTGTTTTTTGCTATATGATATTAATATATATATATATGTACACCATATTATGTGCTTTAAGAAATATCTACACCTGGAGATTCTGCAGACCTTAATGAATGGACGCTTTTGTTGTCATTATGTCCGTGAGTTTGGAACACTACGAACCCAGACATACATACATACATACATACCTATAGTTTCTAGGTATGTATGTTTCCGCAGACATACATACATACCTATCATTTTCCAG